GATGAGGAATATCTTGCTGCAAGGAGGGACAGGGTAATGTCTAAGAAATCCAAAAAAGCTGAAGTTATTAAGGAAAGTTCAGTTGTTAGAGACTTGGAGTCAGATTATGAAAATTCTGATGGTTCAGTGAACACTGATTCACCTATTTCTGAACATGGACATGTTGAAGATGATTCTGCTGGGGTGTGTAGTTCTAAGAAAAAGTTAGTAGTGTATGACCCTAAGTGTGATCACAGTACTTTACAGTTTGTGTTGGGTATGAGGTTTGACAGTGTAATGCAGTTGAAAAGTGCAATCCAAAAAAGTGCCATTCACAATGGGTGTAACATTCAATTCATGAGAACCAGTCAAAAGCAAGTTGAAGCAAGATGTATTGATAGTTGTCCATGGAGATTATATGGAAGTTTGGTACAATCTGAGGGTAGAGTTGCCATCAAAAGATTGGTGTCAGAGCATCAATGCTTTAGGGACATTAGGACCAGACAAGCAACTTCTCAGTGGGTAGCAAATGAGTATTTGGAAAAGTTCAGGAAACAACCTAGTATAAAGGCCTCAGATATGCAGGACCTTATTATGGACAAGTTTGGAGTACAACCATCCAAATGGAAGTTGTACAGAGGGAAATACAAAGCTCTTGAGATTCTAAGAGGCTCTGAATCAGAACATTATGGGTGCCTCAGAAACTATATTGCTGAGTTGCAGAGGGTGGATAGAAATGGGAGATTTGAACTGTTATTAGAAGAAGGACATGTTTTCAAGGGTTTCTTTGTTGGCTTCAGTGCTTTGAGGGAAGGGTTTCTGCAAGGATGTAAGCCAATAATTGGATTTGATGGTTGTTTTTTAAAGACATTTCTGGGAGGTGTGTTGTTGTGTGCAATTGGAAAAGATGGGAACAACCAAATATATCCTTTGGCTTGGGCTGTTGCTGACTCAGAGAATGAAAACAACTGGAGGTGGTTCTTAACCATATTGTTTCAAGAGCTTAGAATAGAGGATGGTTTGGGTTGGACATTCATTAGTGACCAACAAAAGGTTAGTACACTTCATGTTCAGTGTTCATTTTCTAGTTTAATTTATGTTGTAACACTTCATGTTTCAGGTTTGGACACTTCATGTTTCAGTTTTAGAATTGTAATTTATGTTTTATTTTCTACTTGTAGGGACTTATTGCAGCTATCAAAGAACTCACACCACATGCTGAGCACAGAAATTGTGCTAGGCATGTGTATATGAATTGGAAAAAGCAGCACCCAGGGAAAGTATTGAAGGACCTATATTGGAGGATAGTGCATAGCACATACCGGGTAGCCTACAAGGAAGCTGTTGATGAGTTGAATGTTGTTGATCCAGATGCATGTAAGGATTTTCTTGACAAAGAAACCTTTAGATTTTGTAAGGCTTTTATTGCAGAGTTACCCAAGTGTGATATGATATTGAACAATGTGTGTGAGACATTTAATAGTACCATTGTAGCTGCTAGAAAAAAACCAATTGTGGAGATGCTTGAGGTCATTAGAACCTATGTTATGGAAAGACACCATGAGAAACTTATGTTGGGTAGTGCTGTGAGTGATGTGCTATGTCCTAGGATTAGGAAAAAGGTTGAAGAGGCTAAGTACAAAAGTAGATTGTGTCATACTAAGCCTGCTGTGGGTGACAAGTTTCAAGTGGCTATTTCAGAAGATCAGTTTGTAGTTGACTTGAGGGAGATGAGTTGCACCTGTAGAGAGTGGGATATCTCTGGGATTCCTTGTGTCCAT